AGGAAGAGTCAGGGATACCTTTGCACTCCGCCATTGTTAATTTGTTTATGCAGCAAATTATTGATGGTGAATGGAATGAAAGTGTAGCCACATTACATAAAATTGGTCTAATGGATGAAAATATTATCAAGTTGGCATCTTTTGTAATATTGGAGCAAAAGTTTTTTGAACTTTTGGATGGAGAAAAAGTCATGGATGCTTTAAAGACACTGAGAACTGAGATTGCACCTCTGTGTGTACATACTAATAGACTTCATGAGCTTTCTTCCTTCATTGTGTCTCCATCACAGACTGCTCTCGATGGAACTTCTGATCAGCGGTTAAGGATCAGGTCACGTAAAAAATTACTGGAGGAATTGAAAACATTGTTGCCCTCTATGGTGATGATTCCAGAAAATCGATTGGTGCTTCTTGTTGAACAGGCTCTTGACTTGCAAAGGGATGCTTGCAGGTTTCACAACTCCTTGGTTGAGGAAATGTCATTGCTCTCCGATCATCAGTGTGGAAGAGACCACATGCCTTCTCAAACTTTACAGGTCAGGTTAAAATTTATTATTTACACATTGAAATCAGAAGAAATTTTCATAATAATGCCATCTTATTTGGAATAAGGACTTCAGTTGTGCTGTTTTATACATGAATAGCAGATAAAGTCTCCTTTATTATTTTTTCTTTTTTACTTTATTAGTTGATTGATGTTAATCACAGGAAAAGTAAAAGATAATTTATTATTTTTTCTTTTTTACGTTATTAGTTGATTGATGTTAATCACAGGAAAAGTAAAATAGATCAATTTTGTTTCCATGAATAAGATATTTGAGTATTTCACTTAGCGTTAAAAGTGGAGAAAATTGAATCATTTTTCTCCAACATACTACCTAAGTAGTAAATTGTTGCTCAACCTTTAAAAAGGAGCAAGTTGGTTCCTAACCTTTGATTTTTGTTTCACAATAAATCCTAAATGATGATGATTGTCCAAATCTCTGTTAAGTTGTCAAGTGGTCCTCGCATGTCCAACCTTTTGAAGTTAGAATTTTCTTTCCAATTTGAGGTAATGTCTAAAAATTGGAAGTGAAATATGTTTTCGTGAGAGATGTGGTTTAACGATGATTGAACAATTTTTATCGCTGACAACTGATGGTATTACAATGATGAAAACTGGAAAGGTTGGAGACCAACTTGCCATTTAGATATTAGGTTGGGGACCAATTTTGCAATTTTCTGGTTAAAAAGAAACAGGTTATCTATTACTGTTCTTGTTTTTTGGGTAAGATAACTATATTAAGCTATGTTAGAAAAGAGGCTTAATTGGATATTAAAGCTTCTTACCTCGGTGAAGCAAGGCAAGTCTTGAGGCATTTTGAGACATAATCAAAGAGATACCAATAAACAGCCTAGACGTCTCCCACATTGTCCCGATTAACAAGATCTTTAAGAAAATTATCTATATTTTTTTATTCCACAATCATCATCTTCTTGACTATCTGATTAGTTTCTTCTCATTTTTTTCTCATCATCCTCAACTTGCAATGTTGCATTCCCCTTCCCCTTCCCCTTCCTCTACTGTTCGATGTAAAAGAAACAAAAAAAAAAAAGAAAAAAAAAAACTCGTCAATTATGGGCTAAAAAAAATAGTCACTAAAGCTAAGACAGTATTAAAAGCCCAAAGGGAAAACAAGGAGCGCACACCTTAGCTGCCCCGAGGCTAAGCCCGAGGTATAAGCCTTGACGGTGTTATTCAAGGTGTTTAATGAAAGGCACATGAGATGCATCTCGTGGCGTAAGCTCAAACAACATCTGGAAAACAATGGTATTGAGAATGTTGTTTTCACGTGGCAAAATAAATGTACATGTGCTTCGTACAAGAATGAAATTGTCGCGTCACTGCAAGAATCTCTTAAAAACCAAGATAGATGTAGTGTTTTCTTCAAGGGACGTGAGAGCCCCCAAACTCTTGACCAAATAAAAGGATGGAAAATTAACTTTTTTCTTATGTATAAATCCGAGAAAAAAAGTGATGCTCCAAGAATAATAAATGTGTTTATTGACCATTGATCTAGAACATGTCATGTCTATTTCTCAATGAGGGCTAGAAGGGGATACTCCACCTTTGTGTGTCACAATGCTTACTCATGGAGATGAACTGGGGAAAATTGGTTAATACTATATAAATGGCAAAAGAGATGAAACTAATGTGAAACTATAAATCACGAGCTTAATAATTACTCTGCAAACAATGTTGGATTGAAGGCTATATTAATTTATATTTTCATTGTTTTCGTAATGAATAATATCTGACTATTGAGAATCACATGCATCTATTGACATGGGACAGCTTTAGAAAATCTCTCAAAAAACCTACTACTACTGAATGCGTGCTGGAGTTTTATTTAGATTAAATGATTGATGAGTTTGATTATGGGTTAGGGATGAATTTTTGAAAAAGATGATGAACTGTATCTGAAAAGTAGGAGAATATGAGATAAAAATAATGTTTTTTTTCTGCTTAAGGGATTAGCCAAATCACTGTAACGCAATTTCAAATTCTCATAACAATCCACTCTACTAGATTTAATGGAAGTATCTAAAATCACCTTGAATATTTTCTTTAGACATTTTTTCTCGTCATTGTTGCATCATCTTTATTGATGAGGTGGCAAATCTGATTCCTTCTTGTGTGCGCCTATATAACATGGCAAACTCCCTAAAAATGAGCAGAAAACAGAAACTTCCTCTGCAAACAATTTGCATACATGTATTCTGTCCAATATTTAGCAAATCTTTTGTTTAGTTTGCTGTAGTTAGTGATGGTTCTTTCTGTATATGATGTATTTAAAATTTGTTAAGAATTTGTTGCTATAGTAATCTGACCCAACGTCTCTGGAACTTAATAGTGAAGTTATATTTATGTTAGCGGAGACTTTGGCCTTACTTTTGACCACAATTGATGGACAGTTGTGATGAATTTATCAGGCTCTGAATGGAGACGAAGAGTGTGATGAGATTTAAATGTGTCCACTTGATTAAAGCAGATAATATGCAATAGTCCACTAGTTGCTTGAAAGCAAATCTTTAGGTATAATAGATTTCCGTTTTTATTTAATATGAACACTGAAATTGTAATATATCTACTCTTTCACAAAACCTGGGGTAATTCATTGTTTAGTTAATACTTTGACCATTGATCCTTATTTTGATGCAATTTTGACACTACGGGAATGCTTGACTTCATAATCCAGATACTACAAGAACACAGTAATGAAGTCTGGTTCTTGCAATTTTCTCACAATGGAGACTACTTGGCCTCGTCATCCAGTGATTGTCTAGTGATTATATGGGAGGTAAGATTATCTTTTTAGCTGTGCATATAATTAATTTGTGCTTGCATTTATTTCCCCTGGTTCCCTTCAATGACTGGCTGGTATATGAATTTTACTCTTGCCATTAACAATTTACTTCCATGCTGATTTTTAATTTTAGTTGCGTACTTCTTGACATTATAATCGTGGTCTTCCAACTTAACATCAGCATCTGTTGCTTTCAATTTTTTTATATAGCTTGAAATGTTTCGGTCGTCTTGGTGTAGTATTAATATCATTTGTTCAAAGTAGAACTGTTTTCTGAAACACTTATTGGATATGAATTTTAAGGACTACTTGTTTAAAGTCAGCATAATAACCATTAGATCATATAGTTGTTTCGGTAATATAATGCTGCAATGATGGACCTTTTGTAATCAAGTGCCATTCATTAGTTTCTGTTACATTTTTCTGTTTGCTCCCATCTACTTGAAACTTGTCGATGTTTACAACAAGTCTCCAATATTTTACCTTCCCAATTTCTTTAACCATACATGATGATTTATCGTTCCCTGCCAGATGGTAAAACTAAAAAGATTTGGAAGCTTATTGCTTTCATATCTTTTAAAATTGGAATCTCACATTCTGCTTCTCCTTTCCTATACCAGTAAGCGCACCGTATATCAAACATGAATTCAATCTGGCTTGTCCTTCTCTTTTTATACTTCTAACACATCCTCCTATGATTTGAAAGGTAAAAAAAAATGTTTGATGGGGAATATCTATCCAAATGACTATATCCGTCCCTCATGAAACAATTTACTGATCAGCTTACACCAGGAACCACCATCAATATATACTTGAAACCCAAATAAATAAAAAATTAAACGATAAATGCCCAGAGGAAACAAATCCTTCATCGCCCTAGGCCCCAGTAGAAAACACCCAAATCAATTTCGCAGTTAGGTTTTTCCACAAAATCCAGAGGAGGAAGGGCTTTGTAATTCCATTGCTGTAGCAGATTTATTGCTAAGAGTTCCATCATAAAAGAGTTGATTTATACGGCCGGACAGAAATTTGGTTGATTTTAGCTTTTAGGTTTATGGTTAGAGGTTGCTACACCGGTGAGAGAAGTGCAGACGTTAGAGATTGATTCTATTCAATGATGAACACTGCTACAGGTACAGCAACGAAAAAATACAAGGAAAACATAAACATATGGGGCCCAATTTTTTAATAATATTTAAATCAGGTGGGACCCACATCCATGTGACTCTTCTGTAGAACTTCTGGCATGAGCAGTTCTTTTTTTTTTTTTTTTGATAGGTAATCTCAATATTTTATTAATCAACGAAGAATACACGGGGAAGTGTATAATCAAAATAAACACAAAAGGAACGACATGAAGTTAGGCAGCCACTTAATAGGATTACTAGCTGCGGCATTAAACCAAGTGTACAAAGGCAAAAGGATTACTAGCCGCGGCATTAAACTAAGTGTACAAAGTCAGAAAAAATAATTCTCTAATTTGCTCTGTGATCCGTGTTTGGTCTTCGAAACATCGATTGTTCATTTCTCTCCACACACCCCAAACAATGCATCCTGGGATAAGGCATGAACAGTTCTGTAAATTCAGCATTATTCATTTAGTGATAGTTGATCTTAATGGTGGAGGGATTATTTAAAATATTTTAAAGGAAACACACAAGCTTTCCCTTCTGGGTCTTGACACTTCGAAGAACAAAATGGAAGACCTGGCAAGGTTGACTTGTGGAGCTTACAATTATCTGAACCATTTAGTTCATTTGAAAATCTAACATCCCTTGATGGATCTGGTTTCTCATAGGAGGATGGTCCTTGCCATTTAGAGTGGTTTTCTTCTAGAAAGACGCAGCAGATATATATTGAAAAACCTATTTGTTACTGCTCATGAAAGTTGGGTGTTATGTGGGAAGTTGTGGTTTTCTCTATTTTTTTTGGCTTTTAGATAGAAAGGAACTCTAATTTTTCAATAAAAGGCACGACTGCAACCAAATATTGGAGGGAGCGGAGTTTTTGGCTTCTTTATGGGATTCTATCTCTAAGGAGTTTAAGGATTTTCATTTATCTGTAGGTGTTCTTGGTTGGAGAACGTGATGTATTCTTGATTTTGTTTTTCTTTATTTTAAGAGGAGTCCTTATTCTGGCAATGTATGTGTGTATCATGATATCATGAATAGTAAATGCACGTTTTAGAAATAGCATAATTAAATATTTTTCTTTCTAATCATCCTGTCATTGACTATAATCAATATACCAAACAAAGAGAACTTGGTATGGAATGTTCAATATATCAAAATATATAGGCAATTACAATAGTCTTTTATTTTTCAAATATTTGACATTTGATGAAAGTCTTTTTGACTCTTTGCTCAATCTGAACGTTCCTGCTTGGAATGTAAAATGTATCTCATTTAACTCATCTTTTTAATGTCACATATTTGATTTGGCATGCGATTTGCATGATGGGACCTTTATTTCAGTTATTGCAGTGAGCTTGAGGAGAAGGAATGAACATGGGATATCTAGTTATTACATTGTTATTTATAGCGGATTATTTTGAAGATGATACAAGTTACATAAACAGCAGTGAAGGTAGGTTTTGGGTTGTGAAGAGGGCTTTGGTTTTTGGTTTAGATCACGTATAAGATTTGGACCAAATTGGTGGGAGATTTAATAAAATTATTTTGACTAGTACGGCAATACCTAGTAATATAGCATTGAATAATGTAGATTATATTTTGATGACTATTTAAAGGAATGTATGTGGATTGAAATTCCAAAATCCATCGGAAGCTTTAGTAGATGACTTCCAAACCTCTTCTATCTAATAGGAATGGTTTGAAACAATGCTGAATTTGTTCGCTGCCGTCCATATAAATTTATTGTTGATGGTTTAACTATTTAACCCAAGCTGTTTTTTGATCAATCTCATTCTTGACCTTTAATTACTTTTGTTACCGGTTTTAATTTGCTTATTGCATACTAGATATTTCATTTCCAGATATTGGGAACTCCTTTTAGTTTATTCCATTGATATTTCTAAATTATGTTTGAATCATTCTCTGGTGTTAGAGTATCTCCAAGAGACTCTCTATTTTTAAAAAGCATATTTCTATCATTTGGAGAGTATGTATAAGTTTAGAGAGTTAAAATTTTGAAGTACTCCAACAAACTCTTTATGTTTAATATTTAATTTTACTACTCCCAAAAAATATTTATTATTTTTCTTTATCTTTTATTTTAACAAGTTTTCTTTAGATTATTTTTTTGTTTTCCTACATTGAAAATTGAAACATTATTAATGCATTTAATTATAGAGAGCTCTCCAAATTTGAAGAGCCAAACCCATTCTCTAAATTAAAATGTTAATTTAAAGTGTCTCTTGGACCACGAGTTTAAATATTGACTCTTTAAAATAGAGAGTATCTCATGTTTAAATAGTCTCTTGGAGATGCTCTTACAAATTAAGCTCCTATTTGACAATCATTATTTCAAAACTTTTTAATTGTTATACTAATTTTCAACAACACAATTACTAATTTACACAATAAAATATTTTGTATGTAAACCTAAAACCTTTCTCTACTTATTAAACCACACAACTCCATTTTCTCAAAATAATTGTTGTCAAACAGGGGCTAAGATTATGCTGTCAAAATGTAGCACTCATCTAAATTTTATTAGTCATCTTAAAATGTAGACTAAGACAATCATCTAAATTTTTATCATTTATATGTACACAATATCTTGGATAACAAGTAAATTTTAATTTTTTATATGCTAGATTTCCTTTAATTATTCCTAAATTTCCATTTTCTGCAGTTATACATCTTTCATCTTGTAGATTAAGTATTATAGGACTATTAATTCCTTCTTTAAAACATGATTTTATTATTATTTGTATTCCAGCAAGGTANATATTTCTTTTTGTTATTAGATTTAATTTAATTTTTCCTTGTGTATATTTAATATCTATGACTTTTTCTATCTCATGATATTCATTAATTACTAACTTCTTTCTTCTAAAGGTTGACCCTAAAATATTAAATAATCTATTTTCTCCTGATAGTTTTAAATTTAATTCTGCTCTATTAATTTTTCTAAATTTTTCCCAATCAAATTTTTCTTTTAAGGCATATCCTTCTACTCCTTCGCAAAATTTTTTTTGCTTCGTTACCCAATAGTTTGAGTTTATTACTCGAAAGCTTTTTCTGTTTAGATATCATTTTTAGTGACTCCCTTGCTCATGACTCCCTTGCTTTTGTTAGGTAAAAGAGGATGGTCGAATTTCCTTGAAGCATAGATTATCTGGTCACCAGAAACCTGTCTCCTATATTTCATGGAGCCCTGATGATTGTCAACTTCTTACTTGTGGAGTAGAAGAGGCTGTTAGACGTTGGGAAACTGGATCTGGAGATTGCCTCCACGTATATGAAAAAAGTGGCCTCGGTTTGGTCTCTTGTGCATGGGCACCGGATGGTAGAAGGATATTTTGTGGTGTTACTGACAAAAGCATCTGCATGTGGGATCTGGAAGGGAAAGAGGTAGAGTGTTGGAAAGGGCAAAAAACTATTAGAATTTCAGACTTGGGGATATCTAGTGATGGGAAACAGCTTATTACTGTTTGTAAAGAAAATATGATATCATTGTTTGGATGGGAATCAAATTCTGAGAAATTCATTGAGGAGGATCATACTATTATTTCATTTGATTTATCTAAAGACAACAAGTTTTTACTTGTTAGTTTATCGAACCAAGAACTCCATCTGTGGAATATAGATGGGAGTGTAAGGCTAGTAGCCAAATACAAAGGTCACAAGCGTTCTCGTTTAGTTGTGAGGTCTTGTTTTGGTGGACTAGATCAAGCATTTATTGCCAGTGGAAGTGAGGACTCGCAGGTAATGCCTCCTCTGTTGATCATGAGCATTTCTTTTGCATTGCCGCATAAATATTTATTTTTATTTTCCGGTATGAACTGGTCTTTCAAAATGGAATTGATGATATTTGCACGCTACTAAGAACAATATTATTTCTGTGGAATAAGCTTCTTGTATACAAACTAAAGCTGTTTGTGGTACTCATGTCCTCCAATCAATTGATGGCTACTGTTGTCAGTGTTGTTAATGAGCCTCCTATCTGGACAATTGAATGTTCTTGCACTTCATACAAAGTGCTAATTACATTGTGGCCACCATGTCTAAATGTTGCAAGTATACCACTCTTTAAGTGTCAGCAATTTTCAATTTTACTGTAGATTGGAATTTATACTGTGGGTGTGTTTGCCATGGTTGGCTAAGCGCAAAAAGTTTGGTTATGAGTAAAGTTTGTTTTAAAATAAACAATTTTTTGATCGATGAAAGCTGAAAATAAGTTAAATTTTGACAGTAACGTAAAAATTGCTTTCAAAATAACTCTTTCTTAGATGTTACTTGTACTGAAATAACTCTTTCTCTGTGTTAGAATGGTTGTTATGTGGGAGTTGTTCTGTTAAAGGTTTTCATCCACCATAAGTGAGGGACTAATAAAAGTTTCTTCTTCTAATAATAATAATAAAAGTTACTAATTATTTGACATGATATGTAGGTTTATATATGGCACAGGATCTCAGGAGAGCTCATTTTTACATTACCTGGACATTCTGGGGTTGTCAATTGTGTTAGCTGGAATCCAGCTAATCCTCATATGCTGGCTTCTGCAAGTGATGATCGGACTATTCGCATATGGGGCTTAAATCAGGTTGAAATGACTGAAAATGGGAAGCATGGTACCGGCGTCTGCTACTGTAATGGGGCAACTTGAAGTCGTCAATCCTTTAAAATTTGTATTTTCCTTACTGTCGAGTTTATGTAAATTCTTCTACACCAGTCCTGAGCTGTCATTTACAACAAAATAGAAGGTGCTATTACATTCTCCGTGACAATAAATGCGTACTTTCTTTTAAATGTTAGTCTTTGCTGCTGTTTTATTCATTATGAAGCAGATCAAGAAAGGTCTTCATTTTGTTGTTCCAAGTATTGATGCTTTGGACGTGTGACATGAATAACCTAGGTCGATATATTTAACAAAACATTTTCTTGCCTGATATAGCTACTTGTTACATTACGAGGCTGCCATCTGGAGTTAAAAAGTCTGTGATAGTTTTGTTTTTGCAAGTAAAGACACTATTAATGTTTTCTTATGTAATTTTTTAAACATTTTCTTAGTCTTTTCCTAAGATCTATATCGTGTCAGTTGAAAGCCTTTGATTTTCTCCTTGATGAGTTGAGCATGTTCATGATTCCTTCTTGCATGTTTAGGTGGTTAACCCATTAGTTGTGTACTTTGTGCCGATTTAATGCATTCATTGCAAATAACTCGTAAAATGTTATACCCAAATGGGGAATGGATTATTTACTTGATAATACTGTGAAGACTTGAGTTGATAAACTTGTGTAGAAATTTTGTGATGATGTAACCTAATAGAGCCATTTTCTTGAGTTAAAGTCCTTGTTCAACTTGATTGGCTACGTAGATCGAGAAGGGATTACGTTCTCTACCATTCTTGAAAGCTTCAATGGAGATGTGACCACCCGAAAGTCTAGGACCAATCTATGGTGCAGTAGTTTGTCTTGCTCCCTACATATAATACCTCTTAGGCTGCTATACTCTTGGTAAAACCAAGTCAAAAACTTTGTATTTGATTTCTTGCCATCGACCTCTTCAATGGATTTAGGTATCAGAGTGTGACCAATTATCCATCGACTCCTTTATTGTGAAAACCGGACTTGTGTTTGTTCTTTTACAGAATCAAAGTTTGATTCACATTCGACAATTGATTTAGAACTTCAACATTCTTAGGTCATGATAAGGGGCTTCCTGTATGCAAAAATGAACTCCTTCACCATAACTGATTTACAGCTCTTACAACTTAATCAAATGCCTTATTTATGGATTCTGACCAGATACTCTTCTTAAGCAACACTGAAAGAACTTGCTGCGTTCTCAACAAACTTCCTTGCACATTTAAACCATCGCTTGTCTCCTGCTTTAGCCTTGCAGATTTACAGTTTGCAACCCAACACCGTGGCCGTTATCAGTTGATGTTTTCCACCTTCATCTCCGTCATCCGTTCTAGTCAATACTGATATGAAATAGTACGGTATGTTTTCCACCTTCATCTCCGTCATCCGTTCTAGTCAATACTGATGTGAAATAGTACGGTTTCCCTCCGATCACCAGTGTTGAACTCTCCAATATGTTTGCAGTTGCCACTGCATTCGAATCGATCCACCCTGCATATATATTTCCAAATTATTCAATTCTGAATGTAAGCATGCTTAGAACTATGTGCTATAAATGATATATTTACCTCTGAATCAATTTTACCGAAGTAGGCTTGTTTTCCCAGCAGAGAGTCCACCTGCATGTAGAAAAACTCAGATAAAAGTTGTTACAAGAAAATCAACGAAGCATGTTCGGTAGGCTGGACAAAGTCTATTGAGAGTGTTGTTTGGTACTATAGACTTTCGTGGGTGAAAATAATAATGATGATTCATCACTTTGGAGAGGAAGTCCTCAAGGGAACCATAGTCAGTGATGGATTTCTTGCCAGTCGGGGTGACCAAAACGACAACGTTGCTTGTGGAATCGAAGTTGTCCTCGTATCTAAGAACCTGACAAGGGTATTCCACTTCTTTGCTAGGTTTCCACTTGGAGGGAATTGACAACTTGAATCCAACCCCGTTGTATGGCAAGAAATCTGTGTTTGTCTTTGGCTTCCCATATGTTGGCTGCATTCAATTTTTCATACATTAGTAGCAAACGATGGGATAAAAATATTTGGTAGATGGTATTAGACAGTACTATCAATACAACAACATATTTGGTAATGATAACAAATACAAAATATGATATTTGGGTATTACCAGATTCTCCACAGGCAGCATCAGCAGGTGAAACCGTGGATCCAATGGCAGCTGCCCCAATTAAAACAGTGAGAACCAGTCTTCGGGACACGGTGTCTGTGCCATCTTCTACTTGAAGTGCAGCCTGATTCTGCGCACGGCAAATTAGCTGTGTAGGCTTGAGTGATGGCAGGTAGCAGTTAGACGAAGAAGATCTATTTTGGGTAGAGAGTGCTGCGCCTGCATGGTGGTGCAAGAAGCATGCAGTGGAGGACATTGATCTCTCTCTCTCTCACTCTCTCTCTCTCTCATACACACACAGAGACGCTTCTTTTGCTTGCTCGTGTATGGACTTCGATGTGTGAATAAAAATGAGTTTTTGTACTTTTTTTGATGTTGGCATGATTGGATTTTTCGTGAGAGGATAAGGCTGTAGTGGCTCTCAATAGTAACGAGTGTTCATTTGCATAATCTTGCTCTCTCAAAATTCTAGTGTATTTTCCATGTCAATTGTCATATGATCACAAGGGTCTTGCCTTCTCGAACTTGCCTCTTGAAGATGAAACCATATACATTAGAATAATGATATTCATAGTCAACAACTACATTATTCATCATATGTGACAGCTTATTATTTGAAACATTCATTTTCTTTAACTTTGTTACCTCAAATAATAATCCCTCACAAAAAGATGACTATACGATTGCTGACTATGAATAGCATTACTCTGTATATTAACATGATTGGTTGTAGTTACTAAAGATTGTTGTTGTCATAAATGCATTTATAATGTAACTCTTATCTATTTGCACGATTGCACATGGATTTTTGGAAACGAGGGACTTTCCTACAAGTTTTAAACTCGTGGTTTTTGTAAAAAATTCTTGATGACGTAATTTATGATAATCAAATTTTAAGCTCATGGTTTTGGATAATTTTCACCTTTCTTTAAATTTAGGCAAACATGCCAAAGTCTGTCGTATATTTTGTTTTAAATATAAAATAGTAGAGGAAACCTTCATTGTGGATTTTGACCAATATATAGAGAGTGTTTGGTGGGGATTAAAATTAGATTTTTAGTGGATTGTAGTAAAAATTTTTGAAATATGTTGTTGAAAAGATGTGTGACTCATTAAGATGTTAATATTAAGGGGTTGTCTGGTAGTGATTATTTTCCTGATTTTGAGCAAATATCTGACCATTGCCAAAGCATTCAACCGCATTAGTTGACTGGCCATCTCCGGAATGGGGCCCGATAACGGTCCATTTAGCAATTTTAATCTGGCCAAAATCAGAACTTGACAACTCCTAATTGTTTGACTTTGACTTAAATTAAAATCAAATTTTAATTCGGCTCAAACGGGCTCATAATCTCCACCTAGTCATGGGTTCATAATAGGGAACAATACATATCTCAGGCTTTTACTTTACACAATTTCAAAAATACAAAAACAAATTCCAAAAATTAAGTTTTTTAATTTGATTTATGAAATAATAAATTATTAAATCAATTTATTATTAAGTATTTAATTATATACCTCCACCACCCCCTATTTACCATTCTAGTCACCATTTTTCTTCGGCAACTGTTCTGGCGACCACTTTTCTCCAGCGACCGTTCCGATTCCAGCAATATTCCGATGACCATTTTAGCTTTGAAATTTGGTCACAGATTCACAATTTAGTTGGTCACACATTAGAATTTTCATGTCACAAATTATTTTATGATCAAATTTCAAAAATTTGTAGGTCACAATTTGTTCATCGGTCGCAATTTGATAGGTCACATATTTTTTTTGGTTACAAATCACAAATTTTATAGGTCATAATTTTTTTATCGGTCACAGATCAAAAATTTTGTAGGCCACAAATTATTTCGTGGTCACAAATCAATAGTTTTATAGGTCACATATTATTTTATTGGTCACAGATCCAAAAAATACGGGTCACAGTTATCTATCAGTCATATATTTTCAAATTTATTGGTCACATATTATTTTTTAGTTACAATTTTAAAGACAGTTAGATTTTTTGTGTGACCGTCACCGACTTTTGTGACCACACTGCCACCAGTCGTTGCCTACACCACCATCACCAACAACCACACAAATCATTCACGGCCAGATCATAATTACTGCAGACCGCCACCAAATTTACCAACAGCGCCAGATTCACCGCAAAACCACCTCACCACCAACCACAACCCATAGATCCACAATCACCAACACCACACAATCACCAACCACAAAATCAAATATCCACAATCAGTGTAAAACCCCAAAACACGAAACAACAACAAAAACGTCGTCGATCCGCCAAAACCGCCGCCATATCCTCCAAAGCAAACTAAAAAAAAAAAAAAGAAATTACAAATCTGTGACGTACCAGATAGGGATATAAAGAAGGGGACCTTCGCCAATCGCCCAAATCCGCCGTGGAAAACTCCTATCTCCGCCTCTAATACACCGTATTCTTATATCAAATCTGGTTGACCACTCAAAAAAAACCCACCTCGGACCATGGGCCGCATAAGGGAGCTGTTAGGCGCGGCTGCGCCTGCTACTTCGCCGGATCAAAGAGAGAAATGTGAGAGAACGAGAAGAACGGTGTTTGTCGGATAGGGAGAAGAGAGAAGACGACGACGGATGGCAAGAGGAATACAGAGGCGGGAGGAGAAGCGACGGCGGGGAGAGAGATGAATTTAGGTTTTTGATTTTGGGATGAAATTATTAATTGGGATTTAATTAGATATAAAAAAACCCGATTTTTTAAAAATTAAACTAGTGATCTAATTTGTGAAATTGGAAATATAATTCCAGGTGTATGTGTAATTTCCTCTTCATAATATAGTATTAGTTTGGAACGATAGATTCTCTAAATACGACTAGGCATGGATACGCCGTCACCGATAACCGTGTTATTTTGAATCAATAATTGAACCAAACGTGCTCTGAGCCTTATTTTTAAAAAAAATTATTTAAAAGTATCTTTTAGAACTACAAATATCTTTAGCTAAATAAGAGTACGTTTAAGAAAAATTACTTTTACTCTAAGCATAACCAAACATGCCCTAAGCCTTTTTCAGTTTTTTTGAAAATAATTCGCTTATTATTTAGTAATTCCTAGAAATTTGCTCACAGGTGGGGTCGCCTCGTTTCAACCTCTACCGACAAAAGTGGGGCATCTAACCCTGCTCATCTGCTAACGTGAAACTCGTGACCCAAACTAGCTTAGAAAAAATCTTTGCTCAAGTGTTTGTGGCAATTTTAATTTTGTCTTCGTGTTTAATTAATTGTGCATAAAAGAAAAATTGAACTACTCGTACATATTCAATTCTAGTTCTAGCTATCTTAGTCGAAAATTAAATAAATTATGTTCATTATTTACTATCCCGGCATGGTGTGCTATATTTGTTATTTCAAATAAATATTTGTTTATACATTTGTCGTTTCTAATATTACAATGTACGTTTCAAAAGTAACACATCTGCTAAAGCAATAGCCAAAGATGATTTCATAAGCCTCCGTTTAGGAAGAATATATTACGGTTCAATGAAATGTGTGATTGAAAATAAAACTTTTACCATTTATAAAATAATTTATAGAGAAATCTTTTAAATCATAATTTTATTTTCATTCACTTGTCGGTAAAGAGTGCAATTTGATGAGTGAGCAAGCAAGAATAAGTCAGGACTCTCAAACCGTCGTCGGGGTTGATGGTTTGCGACAAGCAAGCAAAAGAGAGCACGTAATTTTCTTGCGCCACGCTTAGGGGTGTGTGAAGGTCCAATTTTGGACATATTTTCAATGGCAAAATTTTAAACTTAAATCAAATCATCATATCACCCAAATTTAGGTAACTTCCTTCAAAAACTCTTTTACAACCAATTCAATCCAATTTGCAGTTTGGTTTGGGATGAAATCGTCAAATTCTTTTTTCCAAGTTCATTTTAAATTAACCGATTCATGAATTATAAAAAAACTAAGTTAAGAAATATCTTTCTAACTTATTTGATAGGAAATAAACAAGCTATTTATATATCAATGATGAGAAAACAAAGCCAATTTATTTCTGCACGTAATTGCGTGAGAATGAGAGTGTTTCACAGCATCTCCAACAGTTGTGTAAAATAAAGATATAGATTTTCAAAGTGACTGAAAACCTCTCCAATGGAAATGCTCTTATTTGATATTAGCAACATTTGTTGGTGGATGAGATAACTCGTGACCATTGGAGATGCTCCTATTTTTAAGTTACAATTTTTAACTTTATAATTAACAAAAAAAAAAAAATGTTTTAAGATAACTCGTGATCAAGATAATATTAGATGAATTGCAAAAAATAATAGTAAATCAAATTGGTAACATAAGAATGTGAAAAGAGTAATATAATAGCATACAAATTGTATAATAATAATTGACATGTAAGATTTCCATTGAGTTATTAAATAAAATAAGCATTATGAAGTTCGGCGACCAATGAGATGCATTCTAAAATTCGATCAGTAATCGTGAGCACACTGAAAATTAGGTAAGTATTGAAATGTATGTCCTAAAGTTGAGTGATGAATGAGAAGCATTTTAAAGTTAGATGTGTAACCCGTGATCACATCCAAAGTTAAACAGGTGTTGAAGCATTTAACTCGTGAGTGAAGGAGTGCAATGCCGTGAAGTTGAGTTATCAATAAGAAGTATCCTGAATTTTGATGAATAATTCGTGACAACACTCAAAATTGGGTGGATGATGGAGTGAAACGCTCTAAAGTTGAGTGATCAATAAAGAATATTTCGAAATTCGATGAGTAACTCGAGATCAAATTTAAAATTGGGTGCATATTGAAATATTTAACTCCAGAAACAAGATAAGGCACACTATTAATCGATAGACATGGGTAGGTGAACCGGTCTCTCTCATTATTAATATATCCATTTACGCATGTACTCTTAACGTATTGGCCTCAATTAAATATTCTTGAAAGTTGAATCCCACACATTCAAAACAGGTAGTTTATCCACACAAAAGTTGCTCTTACTTTTATTCGCAGCCTTTCTCCATCTGGTCAATTTTTAATTTTTTTTTCCTTAGCCTTCGGTTTTCCCATTCCTTAGCAAGTTAAGTTTATTCTAAATTTTTTGGTTGTATAATGTTTTAGTTTTTGTTATTTGATTCTTTTGGGTTCTGTTCATCTTCATTTGTGTTCATTTTACTGGAATTAGCTCCTTAGCAAGTTAAGTTTATTCTAAATTTTTTGGTTGTATAATGTTTTAGTTTTTGTT